TTTTGCTAAAGTCTTTAAGGTTGACACGTTTCCTCTCTTGTTTGTGTCTTTAGATCTCTCTACAAATTCTCAGTTGGGTTGAGGTCTGATGTCTGTGATGGCCACTCTGAAACACTGATATTTATTGTCCAACAACTCTGACGTTCATTTTTCGTTAGTTTTTACATGTAGTCTGGATCATCATCTTAGAGGAAGATCCACTGATGATCCAGTCCAATATTTGTGGCAAAATGTTTTTGTCCAAAATCTTAATATACTATTCTGTAACCAGGCAACCAGTCCACATTGCATAATGCTGCCGACATCAAGCTTGAGCATTAGGAAGATGTTCTTTAGATTAAAAACTTCGTCTTTTTTTCCGCCAAACTCTCTCACACCTCCTTCTCTCTGTCCCTCTTTCTCACCTCTCTCTCTGTCCCTTTCTCTCTCTCTCTCTCTCTCTCTCTCTCTCCCTATATATATATATATATATATATATATATATATATATATATATATATATATATATATATATATATATATATATAAACCGATGACGTATCTCTTGAGGAGAGGATGGTACGATTGCTAAAGTGTCCGACTACGAAACTCTTGAGTCGTGATGCTGAAAATAACATCAATCAGCTGATAAGTTTTATTATAGTCGTATTAATCCTATATATATATATGTGTGTGTGTGTATATATATATATATATATATATATATATGTATATATATATATATGTGTGTGTGTGTGTGTGTGTATTAAATCCGACAAATAATTTAATATATTTTCTGTTTATACGTTTTTTTTTATGGATACAACTTATTTCAGTAAATGCTTTGTTTTAATTAAACAGTATTAATTACATGAATTACTGAATGTTTCGAATTGTTAAATCGGAAGTTCTCTTTGGTTAAACGGGCATAGCACGTCAGTGTTAATGAGGGTTTCGTACAGGATACAGGTTCGATTCCTGTCGGAGGACGCGTATTTTCTACAAAATTTCTCGAACATTCAGGCCGGTAAATAATACTGTTTAATCAAAATACAGATCATTTATTTAAATAAGTGTATCCATAAAAAAAAACGTATTATTTGACGGCATATAAATCGCGCATTTTTTTAATAAAAATATCTTTTAAAATTCCCCTGCATTTTATATGCCATATGTAGGTGTAAAATTCGCGATAGTCGGCCGAAATTAGCTACCTGGCAACTCCTATTAGCTTAGACTTAAACATGAAGAAGCAATGAAACACGTGAATGGCAATGCCTGATCACGACCTTAAATTTACAGGAAGAATAAAAAGCCCCAGCATTGAACAATTCTGTGAATGAATGAAGAAAGCATGTGATAATATTAGACCAGAAATTGTGAAATCTTTTAAAAAGTGTGGCATTAGGAAGATGGCGCAATATTTAACAACGATGATAGGAGTATTGAAAATGAGTATCAGGATTTTGATAACGAAGATATTTTATGGATTTGAAGATGAATAAAATTTTAATGGTAAATGTACTGTCTTGCTCAATTGTAATAATTGCTTTATTTTTATTTTGTTTTCTTAACTTTGGATATAATAAAGTTTTTATAGGCTTATTCTGTTCTTTTTTCCCCATTATTTTTCGTTTAATTGTAATCATGGCTTGTTTAACCAAAATAATACCTCATAAACATTGATGAGGCTGTACTATTTACTAATAATGTTACTAATTACTAATTTTTTCTTGATTTTCCCTGCTGAAATTGGGGTGCGTCATATACACCTATGCGTCTTATATGTCGTCAAATACGGTATAAACAGAAAATATATTAAAATATTTGTTGGATTTAATCCATTTCATATAATATGTTGTCATTGTCTACAATTTCAAAGCAGGTATGAAAAATCGTGAAAAATCGGCAAATGTGTGTCTTTAAAAGCGTCGAACTTTGCTAAACCGGAAGTTCTCTGTGGCTGAACGGTCACAGCACGCCGGGTTTAATGATTGTTCCCTATAGGATACAGGTTCGATTCCTGTCGGAGGACGCATCTTTTCTACGAAATTTCTCGAAAATTCAGGCCTATCAATGTGGTTAATACTGCTTAATTAAAATAGAAAAGAGCATTTACTCAAATAAGTGTATTCGTAAAAACGTATAAACAGAAAATATATATCATCCCTTTTTTTTATATATACACACACACACACAAACACACACTCACATATATATATATATCATCCATTTTTCGCGAACGAAAAGCAGCATTCCTATGCGCAAGACGTTCAATTTTTACTTCATCTGACCACCGAATTGATAATAAAAATCTTAAATCTTTGTCAATATTACGCTTAGCAAAGGAGAGACGAGATGTTATGTGTTCAGCTTAGAGCATGGCAGTCTTTTATATAAAATCCGCTGGAGTATCTTCCAAGATATGTTGATATCAGAGTGATTAAAACAAAACAAAATTTCATTGGCTATTTTTCTTGTCAACCCTGAGGTCTTTTCATGCCGTACGAGGTGATACCTTCCATTTTCTTTCTCGTCATTGTTGGTTTTTCACGGTGTGGATTTTCTTCCCTGATAATGTTTTGAACTGTTGGGTGTAGCAGCTGAAATTGCTTGGCTGTAACTTTGTAACATTTTTTTCCTTATTGTAACCTGCTGTGGCGATTTTCTAAGCGTAGCTTAGATGTGGCACAAAGCCGAAGGTTCGAACTCAACATGACTGAGGTTCGAACTCAACATGATTTTTTAGCTTAGATGTAGCACAAGGCCGAAAATACGAGGCACCCAGTAAGGATGGAACTCAAAATGATTTTCTGAGAGTAGCTTAGATGTGGCACAAGGCCGAAAATATGAGGCACCGAGTAAGGATAGAACTCAAAATGATTTTCTAAGAGTAGGTTAGATATGACACAAGGCCGAAAATACGGGGCACCCAGTGAGAATCGAACTCAAAACGATTTTCTAAGAGTAGCTTAGATGTGGCACAAAACCCAAAATATGGGGCTCCCACTGGTGATCGAACTCACTCTTCAGGCGTAATTGATCTAGCGTGACAAACTTGCTAACCATTACAGAACCTCGAAGTTCTTAAGGTAATTTTCTAAGCGTAGCTTGGACGTGACACAAAGACGAAAGTAAGGAACACCCAGTGAGTTTAGAATTCTCTACTCAGTCATAATAGATCTAGCGAGACCATACGGCGAATTTATGATACTTAAACTTGAGATCCTCCCTAAGCACTAAGTTCCTTAATTTTAAGCATAGCAACTGAGTTCCTCCTGATGAGAAATGACGAAGTTTGCAAATTTTATCCTCTATTTAAAGTTAGATCTCAAGCACGACTATATTACTGTTATTTTCACCTATTTAGCGGAAGCGAAGAACTCTCTAATGTAAGGAAAAAAATTAAAACTCCTTCCTGTATCGTTCATTTCCGTTCTGTAACATATGAGATATGAATGTATCGAAACAGTTACTGGTGTGAACAGTGGGAAGAGCAAGCCGATTTCAAGTTCCGTTACGCTCACATTAACACGAATGCTCTTGAGAGAGTATGCATCGATTTCTTCTTAAAACCAACTGTAGGCTAAATAGCAACTATCACTGGGCTTGGATGGCAGACAATCCAGAAAGCAACGTTGTGGAGAGGTCAAAAGGAAACTACTCCACCATGTTTCCCAATAATACATGGCAATTCACAGATAAAGAAAAGGAATCCGTGGCTAGCGATGATTTCCTAGGCCCTGAAGAAAGAAAGACTATGAATTGAAAAGAGTAGGGAAGGCAATGAAAAACCGTTCCACCATCTTTCTCAAGGAGGCATGGCAATTCACAGATAACAAAGAAAAGGAATCTGTGGAGAGCCATGATTGCCTATATCCTGAAGAGAGAAAGACTATGAATTGAAAAGTGTGGAGAAGGCAATGGAAAACCACTCTACTATCTTTCTCAAGAAGGCATGGCAATTCAAAGATAATAAAGAAAAGGAATCTGTGGAGAGCCATGATTGCCTATATCCTGAAGAGAGAAAGACTATGAATTGAAAAGTGTGGAGAAGGCAATGGAAAACCACTCTACTATCTTTCTCAAGAAGGCATGACAATTTAAAGATAATAAAGAAAAGGAATCTGTGGAGAGCCATGATCGCCTATGTCCTGAAGAGAGAAAGACTATGAATGGAAAAGTGTGGAGAAAGCAATAGAAAACCATTCTACTATTTTTTCCAAGAAGGCATGGCCATTCACAGATAATAAAGAAAAGGAATCTGTGGATCACACACACGATGAAAGGATATGACATTTTATAGAACTATATGAGTATTCAACATTGAAGATGTCCTTTGTGATCAAATTAACGATAATGCTTCACTGAAAAACAGTTTTTTTTTCATCCTATTGTCATATTTTGTTCCTTATAAGTTTTTTTTGTCTTTACATGTCAGTTTGTTGGAGAATTTAATGAAATTAATAAATCCCAAATTCTGCAACGTATAGATAATTTCGGGCTTAACTCTAGCTAGCTAAGTTCATTCTCTTGATACCAATTATATCACTTCACATCCTGCTATGTCTGAACTGGAGCTACCCTATGCTTTCTTTCCAGCCTTAATAGGGTTTAGAATAACAAGCTGGTCACTAATTTATCGCTATCTATCTATTTACATGGCAAATGTTCATATAAGCTCCATTTTCACGTCCCACTAGTTCCCACTGTTCAGCTAGAGATCACCATGTTACATCCACAGAGTCAAATCACCCACATTTCCTCCGTATTCCATTTGTAAGGAAGACGTTTTGTACGAACTAAAAAGACAGCTTTTCAAGAGAACGGCGACTTTGCGGAACAAAAATCCCTCTAACATGAATGGCTCTTGGGCCTTATATTGGATCAATATTAGTATAAAAATATATCTATTTATCTATCTTAATCCGTTGGTATTTGTTTATGTATATGTATATTCATCTCAAATTGTTCATACTTTTGTCAATTTCAGTAATTACACTTAAATTCATTTTAGGCTTACGGATATATCACGTTGAAACACCGGTTCCCGTATGATCACTGAAGTTAAGCAACGCCGGGCCTGGTCAGTACCTAGATGGATGACAGATTGAGAATACCAAGTGCTGTAAGCTTGGATGTGCGGGTGGTGTAATGGATAATGGCTCGAAATTTGTAATCAGTGAGCCGAGCTCTACTTCCCGTTGAGTTTGTTATATTCACATACGCGCAATTCACCTTGGGAAAAAACATGGATGTACCTCTTCTTCTCCCCGCTGTGGGTTAATAAGTAAGACTAAATCATTATCTCAAAAAGAATTCTTACAAACTAAAACTTTTTTCTTGCTTTAAATAACCTGCAGACGGTTGATAAGCCGTAGAAAATAAATCAATACATTCATTTTAATAGAAATCAATAAGGCTTTTCTTTACCCAATCTATATAGACCTGAAGATGAAAGAGAAATAGTTCAATATATGCTGAACACCTGAGTTGCGAATTTCCTGCTTGCCATTCTATCATGACGCAAGAATTTAAATGTCCTACTAGGGTTCATTATTGGCGACCACAATCTTAACATAAAGTATGCAGATGACAGAGTATTGATAGCAGGCACAAAATGGAAACTACAAGAATTACCATAGAAGATAGTAAAAGAAAAGCGAGAAGAAAGGACTAACTATCACTTGCCAGAAGACAGAATGTAAGGTTGTAAGCAAAAGGAATAGCCCAACATGTAAATTACAAATTGGAAATACCAAAATCAAGCAAGTACAATAATTTAAATGTCTTGGAAGTGTTCTGTGTACAAAATGTAAGACACCGAAATCCGAAGGCGCACTGGGATAGCGAAAGATGTCTTCCAAAAGCTAAGCAAAGTATTAAGAAACATAAAAATTTCCTTAGAAACGAAGAAAAGATTACTTCATTTTTATATAACATCCGTTCTCCTATATGGCATTGAATGCTGGACAGTTTCCTTAAAATGAAAACTCAAGGCAACATTGATGTGGTTCTGTTGTGGCCTGTGTAGGGAGCAGAAAGAAAGACACGGAAGACGAAGGTAGGTTAAACAAGTGTACAGATATATACTAAGCAAGAGTGTTAGTAATAAGCAGATAGAAGTGTGCGTCCGAACGGTAGGTTAACACTGCGTCTCGGCTGCTCCCCCAACTGCTCCCACACACACTAAGTATTTATGAAAGAAGGAAGAGTTCATTCTACTGTAGGTGAGTTACTACAACAGGTTCTACAGAAGGATTCTGAGAATTCTGGAGCATGTGAGTAACGAGGAGGTTTTAAAAACAATAGAAGATCTACTTAGGATCACAAAGAGACAGTTGAAATTTCTGGAAAACATAATAAGGAAAGATGGTTTGGAGAATTTGACACTCACAGGGCATAATGAAGGCACAAGGAAAAGAGGAAGAAAACGAGAAATCTTCCTAACGAGATTGTGTAAATCAGTGATTCCCAAAGTGGGCGGTACCGCCCCGCTGGGGGGGGGGCAATGAGGAAAAAATGGACAGCTAGAGGGTGGCAGTGGCACAACTGAACCATAGCATACACTCCCACCCACACACACACCTGAAGTGTGTCTTGCCTTCACTTTACAGTGTACTCCATTTATATAACAATTGCCATGGGAAATACTAAAATATTCCTTTGACATGTAATACTAGCACAAAGAAAATCCAATCAAAGGTGGACGATACATTTAGGGAGGGGGCGTTAGGGTTGTGTCTATACATTTGGAGGGCGTCAGGGTTGTTGTACGCAAGGGGGCGGCAACTCAAAACGTTTGTGAACAACTGGTGCAAATGAATGTTAGATCAGGTTAGGTTTAGGATTATTTTGTTTTACGGCATATCAACACCTCCATGAGTTATTTAATGCCGACAAGACTTTTAGAATAGATTTGTGTGAATATAATATGTATCCTTTGTAAGAAATCGATTTGTAGACCAGGTTTCATTAACGTATTTTTGTAAAGAGGGTTTTTGTAGAGAGTCAAATGTATTGCTGGTAATTCTTTTTTTTCAAAAATCTATTGCCGGTATTTTTACTATAAAAATCTGTTTTTATACTTTCATACTGTTTTGAACCCAGTTTGGGGATTTAGCTGGGAATCCCACAGGTATTACGACCCCCGATCCATGGTGGACATGGGAACAACAGCAATTAAAAGATGGTTCCATGCTCCTCAAAACTTCCTGATCAGAGGTCTTGCTGCTGGATGTAGTTTATCGTCATACCTAGGACAGATCAAGGAACAAGAATAATAATAAAAATGCAAACATTACTAAGAACTACAAAAAGCAGGAGGTTAGAGGGAGCCATGATTGCCCACAGTCTGAAAGGACACGGCGCAGAGATAAAGAAAAAGAAGGTGAAGATCACTCATAACCGGAGATTTCAGATGTAATTGTCAACATTTACCTACAGTGTAACCCGGATATAAGAGAGTTGTCGGAACCGGAGAAGAAGTCTCTTATATCCGGGTTTCTCTTATATCCGGGTTTGGTCTAATTTATATACATTAACACAGGCTCTAATTTGGGACCAGAGAAAATCTCTCTTATATCCGGGTTTCTCTTATATCCGGGTCTCTTATATCCGGGTTACACTGTATCACAATTTAATCTTATTTACCTATGTAGACAATTTATCTATTAATTGAATTTTAAGTAATGGCATTTTTACAAGATTAGAAATTTATATATATATATATATATATATATATATATATGTGTGTGTGTGTGTGTGTGTGTGTGTGTGTGTGTGTGTGTGAACATTGATTTCCAACACTCAGAGGCGACAGGCTGTTTCATACTGTACGCGGCCTGACGATTGCGTCCAGCATGAAACAGCCTGTCGCCTCTGAGTGCTGACTTCAATGTTCACTTTTATATTTATATTTACATACGCTCTATCTCTGATATTGCGCACTTTACCCTATAAATATAGCACACCTTAAAACTATATTTCTTCATATATATATATATATATATATATATATATATAAAGAGGTAATTGATGAAAATATATTTAATCAAAGTATTTCCAAATTGAGTGAATGGCCGTTTGCCAATGTGTAGGGATGTGATTTATGTTTCTACTCTATTTAATAAATTCTCACAAAGCTTAATGTTTAATGTGTCATCGCACATGAACAACTTCCTTCCGGGAAGTTTATGATCTTCAAGACATTAATTTCCTCGCCAAAACCCCTGGAAGCAACACGGTACTTAACAAACAGGAACTGATCCTTGATCAAATGCTTGGTTGATAATTCGTGCTGTGTCAGCAGTTTTTAGTCCAAGTTTGAAATCAGAAAAAAAATCATTAACCTCGAATAAGCATTATTTTAATTAATAATGTTTATCCTAATTTAATTTTTAAAATATTGATCAGAATTGCTAAGTTTATCTTTTCTTTTCCTTACTTTCTTTTTATTTTCATTCTTTGGAAAAGAGAAGATAACTCCATCAATTCAGATATTTTAGGGTCAACAGTTTTAAAAAATTACCTTCTCTTTTCCTAGCCATAATCAAAAATGTTATAAAAGTTCTTTTTATGCAAGAAGTGGTTGATGTAAACCTTCACGAGATTAGTGAAGGACTGCATTTAATATAAGCATAAGGAGATGGGTCAGTAGAGTTAATGGCATTCCCGGAATGAAAGGAGAAACTAACCTTTGTGACAGGCCTCACAGTGGCAAGCCATCTGCTGCTGTAAATGAGAATAAGAGCAAAGAGGATGATGCTCTCATTAAAACTGAGAGAAAAATCAGTATTACAAAAGCCTGTGAAAGTATTAAAGTCAGTTATGGTAGAGTTTGATTTTTACTGCAGTCTCTTGGCTATTTAAAGGTCTTTGCTAAGTGAGTTCTCCTGATATTTACAGACTCTATCCTAAACCAATATGAATAAAATGAAAGAAATACAAGTCAAAAATTAAGAATAATTGAAAATGATTTATCGAACAAATTCAAATATTACATGTGATACTATAAGCATAAATGAAGCAAGAGAAGCGGGAAGAAAGAAATACAAGTCAAAAATTAATAATAATTAACGATGCTTCATTGAAGAAATTCAAATAATATTACATTTAATACACCTCGTGTAAATAAAGCAAAATAAAGCATGTGCGTGAAAAATTATTTTCCACCTTTCAACCCCTTTCTCACGGACAAAATGTCGCAAGCCTCTCGCTACTCAGTCGCTATTTCCATGGAGAATGTTCAGACGAGCTACATTGCTTAATGACATCAACTCTCACCCTCCCAGCTAAAAACCGCCACATCGCGTACATTGAGCCGAACCACCGTCATACACATTGCATTTCTTTAGTAAAGAGTAAGTTCGGATAGCCCCTTCCCAAGAACTGTTGCTTTATGGGACGGAATCACAAGAGGATACTTTCCCGACCACTATAATCTTAACCTTTTTAAATCTCGGTTTAGCCGTTACCTTTCCTACGTATTCATATAAACGACACCCTTAATTTTACCTCTCACAACGGCCTTCAGTAATTCTCTAATTTGAGTGAACCTACGGCCTTATATGGTTGGAAAAAAAGAGACAAGATAACAGAAAAAGTACTCAAAAAATAATTATAATGTATCAAATACTTTTTTGTTTGTCTACCAATAATTTTCTGTAAGCATAATGACATTAAAACTAGAGATTTTATTTGAAAATTATTTTAGAGTAATCTGTAAACAATATAATATTACTTCAACTATATTATGCTATTGATATTTACCTTAGCTTAATGTACGAGGTGAAAAGAATAAATGAGGAGTTAATTGAGGTTAACCATATTGTACTGTGCTATTCTTATCAGTGAGGAGGTCGAGCTCCATTGAAAATCAGTATTCATATATATATATATATATATATATATATATATATATATATATATATATATATATATACAGGGTGACCAAAAAAAATGGGAACTTTTGAAGTGCGTATTGCCAGACATGAGCAAGTGGCAACACTGCGAGACAGTGACCTTGAGCAAGTAAACATTTCGCCATTTAGAATTCAAGATGAAATTCACAGTATCCCAGCTGAGATGTTGCAGCAGTCAATGAGGAATCTCAACAGCAGATTTCAAGAATG